AAAAAAAAAAAAAAAAAAGCAGACAATGATAAGTATTAACAAGGAAGTAGAGAAACTGAAGCCCCATACACCACTGAAGGAGGGGGAGCATATAAAATGCTGCAGCCATTTTGGAAAACGGTCTCTCAGTTCCTCAATAGGTTAAACATAGAATTACCATAAGACCTAGCAATTCCACTCCTAGGTATTATACCCAAGAGAACCAAAAGCCTATGTCCACACAAAAACTTGCACCTGAATGTCATGGCAGTGTTATTCTTAATAGCCCCCAAGCGGGCAACACCTAACTGCCCATCAACTGAGAAATAAAATGTTGTCTATCCATCCACACAATGGACTATTATTCAGTAATAAAGAGAAATGAGGTACCAATACAGGCTACAACATGAATACGCCTTGAAAACATCATGCGAAATAAAAGAAGCCACTTATAGAAGAATGCTTATTATTAATTCCATTTATATAAGATGCCCGGATTAGGAAGTGTATGGAGACAGGAAGTAACGAACTATAGAAGTGATCCCTGAAAGTATAGTCTTTGGATACAGGAAGTAAATTGATGGTTGGCTAGGGCTGAGGTGGGGAGGGACGGGGTGACTGCCATGGGTCTTCTTTTGGGGCGATGAAAATATCCTACAATGGATCGCGGTGATGGTTGCACAACTCCGTGAATTTACTAAAAACCACTCAGTTGCACATTCTAAATGGGTGAATTGTATGGCATGTAAATTACATTTCAATAAAGCTAGTACAAGAAAAGAAACTGCTCTGTGCCAGGTCCCATATTCTCTGAAGAACGGAGCTTCCCTAAAGTGTCAGCTATTTTTTTCCTAGCCCTCTACAAAATATTAATGTGCAAGCATGGACACTTAGAACAATTCTTCCTTCAGCTTTAGGAGCTGAATGGGATGTTAAAGGGCTCTGTTCTCCAGGATGCAATGTACATTTTCCCATCTGTGGAATTCTTCATAACAAGGAACACTGCAGAGTCCAGGAGTATTATGGAAGAAACATGTCTTCCTTCTTCTTACAATTGTGCTGATGTCACCATCAGGACAGGAAATCGAGGACTAGGGAGTGGTCCTATCGAGGACTGGTCTCCAGGGAGACCAATTGCCAAAGCTGATTTCCAGCCCAGATGGAAGCGGTTTGGACTGTCCAGACATCTCCCCCTGGGCCTGTGCACACTGCTGAATGGACTCCTGGCCCTCGACACGCTTGCTCGTGTCTTCAGCAAAGGGGATTTAAAAGCCAGTGACTTTCAGGTGAAAGCAAGTGACTGCCCAACTCTGTGTCAGATAGAAAGGCTTATTTATCGTGTTCCCACTGAGAAGTGGGCAAACTGTTGTATATGCTGAAATGCATGTATGCTTGGGACGGTGGCTTAATTCTCATTTTGCTCATTCTCTGCTTTCAGATACTTTTCACCATTACTTTTTGGCTACTGCTGAGGCAGCACCTCACGGAGCAAAAAGCTCTTCAAGAAAAGGAAGCTCTTTTATCTGAGGTCAAAATCAGAAGTCAGGAAAATGAAGGAAAAGGTAAATTAGCGTGACTAGAGATTTTCGTGCTCCACTGAATTACAAAGAGCACCCAAAATGCATCAGAAAGCCTCTGTGCTTCAGACCAGATAAAAGCCAAACATTAACCTGGAGCAGTAGACAACACTATGAGCCCACAAGGAGCTTTAGAAAATGTGCTGTCGTTCGATCCTCACAAAATGGATTCCCACTTAAGGGAAGAAGAAACAAGTTCAGAGAAGTTAAATGGTTATCCATGGTCACACTTTTCGAGCCGTGAAACAATCAGAACTAGAAATTGATATACTAGTTTGGGTTTGTGTTGTTATGTACAGGGGACCCCTTACTCACAGAGACCATGTTCCAAGACCCCAGTGGATGCCTGACACTGTGGATAGTACTGAATCCTAAATATGCCGTTTCCTACGCACACATACCTATGATAAAGTTTAATTTATAAATTAAGCACAGTGAGACATGGACGACTAATAAGATAGGACAATTATAGTAAGAAAGGGTAATAAAAGTTATGTGAATGTGGTCTTTCTCTCAAAATATCTTGTGCTGTACTCACCCTTTTGGCAATGTCGTGAGATGATACAATGCTAATGTGATGAGACAGAGGTGAATGACATAGGCATGTGACATGGCATTAGGCCAGTATTGTCCTGCTGATGATACGTCAGGAGGTGCATCATCTGTTTCTGGGCTGTGGTTGACCTCGGGTAACTGAAATGGTGGAAAGTGAAACCATGGAACAGAGTTGGGGAGGGGGGACCACTGTAGTTACTTTGCTAGATCTTGGCAGTTCTTCTTTTTTTTAATTTATTGTTTTTAATTATTTTTGAGAAAAGGAGAGCCCAAGTGGGGGAGGGGCAGAGAGAGAGGGAGACAGAGAATCCGAAGCAGTCTTGACATTGTCAGCACAAAGCCCAGCCCAGGGCTCCAACTCATGAATTGGAGTGAGATCATGACCTAAGCCGAAGTCAGATGCTCAACCAACTGAACCACTCAGGTGCCCCTAGATTCTGCCGTTCTTAAATCTGTCCTTGGGTGTCGGAAATCAAATTAGGTGTTATAAACAGATTAGCATAAAGTATTACCAGGTTTATTTCTTTGAAATTATATTTCACAAAGGCTAGGAAAATTGATTATGATTAGTCATAAATGCTGCCTTGTTTACTAGAACAGTCTGAAATCAAATCATAGAGTAACACATAAAACCATGTGCTTCTAAGTCCCACATATGACACCCAGTCAGAGTGTGGCTCCGGGCAGGGAACCAGCTAAATGTAACAGCAAAATCTTCTGTTTTAAAGATGATGAGCAAGAGCTACAAATGGAAGGAGAGGCTGAGGAGAAGGAGGGAGAGGAAGCAAAGGAAGAAAAGCAAGAGAGAAGGAAGGAAGAAGAAGAAGAAATGGAAGAAGATGACAACCAGGACATCATGAAAGTGCTGGGCAATTTGGTGGTGGCCATGTTCATCAAGTATTGGATCTACGTGTGTGGAGGAATGTTCTTCTTCGTCAGCTTCGAGGGTAAAATTGTGATGTACAAAATCATCTACATGGTGCTGTTTCTGTTCTGTGTGGCCTTGTATCAGGTAGGTAAATGATTGTCTTCTATTTTTCCGATCCTTGTGGCAGCCCCAGAAATATATGTGAGCTTCCTTTGACAAGATTCTAAATTAATATAATGCCATGAACCTATTGTATAATATAAAGTGATCAATGTGATCCAAACATTACATATTAAGAAGGCCTAAAATGGGAAATGACTATCTTCAGCTTGTTCATCGTTTTAAAATTTGGGGTTCCTAAAAAGTAAAAAAATATTCATGAGTTTTTCAAAAATTCTTGATAAAAAAAAAAAAACCTGTGTAATTAAATTAATTTTTGAATGATAGTTTAAGAACAGTGGCTGGAAAATCTAAAATACTGGTTGATTCTCAGTTCACTTATTCTTCAGAGTTTAGAATCAGAAAACTGTGCATGTAAACATATATGCATATTGTATCAACTATTTTAATATTTTATTAATTAGGATATAGAAAAGATTCTACTAAAATAATTAGCCTCTCCACAAATTCAGTCTTAACTTCTAGAGAAATTTTAACTCAGTGATAAAAACAGGTGCCATAGGACCATCTGGGTGGCCGAGTCGGTTGAGTGTCTGTCTCTTGGTTTCAGCTCAGGCTGTGATTCCAGGGGCGTGAGATCGAGCCCCGCATCAAGCTCTGCACTAAGCGTGGAGCCTGCTTGAGATTCTCTCTCTCTTCCTCTGCCTCTCTCCCACACTCACACTGTGTCTCTCTCTCTCTCTCTAAAAGAAAAAAAAGAAAAACACGTGCAACAGTACACTAATCTTGCAGGCAGCCAAGCAAATAAAGCAACTGAAATAAGCAAGAAGAATTCACTGATAGAGATTAAAATCGCTCGACCGAAATTGATAAAAATTTTGAAATATCTTTGAAATTCAGGGTAGGGAGGCACCTAGGTGGCTCAGTTGGTTGAGCATCTGACTCTTGATCTCAGTTCAGATCTTGATCTCAGAGTGGTGAGTTCAAGCCCCACATTGGGTTCCACAGTGAGTATGAAGCCTACTTAAAAAAAAAATCAGGGTAGATGTTCTCAGATGAAAATACACAGGCTTTTGGTAAAGAGGTGGTAAACCTCTCTTTACTGGCTTCACATTTTTCTCATATAGTACCACCTAGAATTTCAAAATTGGCACAATTTTCTCTCAGTGATAACTGCCATGATGGCAACATCTTCCATACTAATGCTTGAATGCCTTTTATAAACTAGGTACCATGCCAAGAGCCTTATAAATATTCTGATTTCTCCCTCTTAACAGCACTCCAAATAGGCACTTAGGGAGTAAGAAACTGAAGCTCAGTGTGGTCCGGCGACTCCCCCAAGGACCTAGGTAGCAAGTCTTGTAGTCCTGAGATTCCAATCCAGATCCAACCAACTCTATGAGGAACAGAGGTTCAAAAATTTAAAAAAATGAATTAGATTTGATTTTTTAGTATTTGTAAATATCACCACCTGTCATACTGGAATAAATGAGATGTTTTTTTTTTAATTTGCTTTTTTTTTAATAACGAATTCTTCTTTTCTTCTTTGTTTTTCAACATCTGATTCACAGGTGCACTACGAATGGTGGAGGCGAATCCTAAAATATTTTTGGATGTCTGTGGTTATTTACACTATGCTGGTGCTTATCTTTATATACACATATCAGTTTGAAAACTTCCCAGGCCTGTGGCAAAATATGACAGGATTGAAAAAAGAAAAGTAAGCAGTTTGGTGTAAAATGAGCTGTGGAAACCACAGACAGGATGAAGACTTGCATGCATGTGGTTCAAACATTTTTGTGGAAGGTTTTAATAAAACATGGTGTCGTCAGGGTCTGTAAGTACCTGGAGAGCAAGTCATTTTATGGTCTCCCTGCCAAGCCCTGAGCCTGACACCCATAGTACATACTCAATGAATATTGACTGAAAAGTGAATTTTCAGCCCCATTTTAATGCCATAACTTTTTCTAATGGCCATTTCATCTGAAACACCTGCTTAGTACTTAACCAGGCATGCCTTCTGCTTTCCAAAGGGAAGTTCAGTTCTGCGGCTCAGTTGGTTCACAGGCTCATAGTATAAAGCATCAGCCTCTTCTCATTTAAGTAGCAGGTGCTAAGATTCTAAGGAGCACTCGATGCCGTAGAAGAAAATTTCAGGGGCGCCTGGGTGGCTCAGTCAGTTAGGTGTCCAACTCTTGATTTCGGCTCAGGTCACGATCTCACGGTTTGTGGGTTCGAGTCCCTGGTCGGGCTCTGTGCTGATAGTGTGGAGCCTACTTGGGATTCTCTCTCTCTCTCTCTCTCTCTCCCCCCCCCCAGCCCCTCCCCTGCTCACACTCTCTAAAATTAAATGAATAGGCTTAAAATTAAATGAATACACTTAAAAGAAATTTCTGTAAGTGCTAATGGAGTAATGATGATGAAATCTTTTTTTCATGTATGTGTGATATATCTGTACATGTACCCTGTCTTTTTCTAATTTGCTGCTATAAACTTCTGAAATTAGTTACCAGAATTGGGCAGAGGGCTGAATGCATATACCGAGGTGGCTAAGCGAAAAGCTGAAAGGGAACGGATCGCCATGTAGCTAGGCTAACACATCTTGAACATTTATTCAGCAAATATTTATCAAATGCCTCCCATGTGCCAGACACTGACTCTGCCTCGGGACACACACAGGAAGCAAGACAGATGGAGTCTAAGCACTACGGAGTTTATATTCTAGTAGAGGAGACCAAAAAAAAAGCCCTACTTAATGTGCAAATAAATTAATTGCTAACTGTGGCAAGTGTGTGAAGGAAAACCAACGACAGATTGAGGTAGTAAACCGTGGGGGATATGAACTATAAATGGAGTGATCAGGGCAGGCTTCCCTGAGAAGGTGACATTTAAACTCCACCTAAAGGGCTTGTCTTAAGAAAACTGCGTGAGTTGGGAGCCGAGTTGCGGAAAAGCTTCCCAGGCAAAGACAGAAGCAAATGTGAAGATCCTGAGGCAAGACTGAATTCGGCACAAATGAAGAACCAGAGGAAGGCTCGCCTGCCAGGAGCAGGGGGGAGACTGGAAGCAGAGGTGGAGAATAGAGCCAGGCACCCAGGATGTGCATGGCCTGTAGGTAGCAGTGTTGGCATTTTATTCTTGGGAAATTTTTAAGTCTTTAAGTAACCCTTGACTGGCTGAAAAAAACAATGCTGTCAGAAGGCAAGCGTAGAAACCACAAGGCGAGTGAGTCGGCAACAGCAGTGCTGTTGTGAGAAATGATGGTGGTTTCATCTAGAAGAGGTAGTTCAGAATTTGGCACAAGGTAGACAGTTATTACCAGGAAGACTCTAGTGGGGGGCCGAGGTGGAGAGCAGCGTGGCCAAGCAAAACTGGGAAATCAAGAATACCGTTTGGAAAACACTAAATATGAAATAACTGTGGGGAAAAAAAAAACCTTCTGGTAGACATGTGGGCACAAGAACCCACAGGAGAAGCCGGAACTCTGAATGTGCATTTGAATCATTGGTGTTAAGATGGTGTGTAAATCCCCAGGACTTGTACATTACCTAAGCGAAACATCAGCGGGAGAAGAGACTCAGCACCGAGGCCTGGGGCTATTTCACATCTGGAGGTCCAATAAAGGAGGAGACAGTGACAGAAGAGGAAAACCAGGACAGTGTGGCGGCACCAAGGCCAGGACGGTTTCAAGAAGGATTGGAAGCTGAATTAAACAAAGAGAAGCAGCCGCTCTGGATTGGCGATACTGAGGTTGTTACCGCCCGATGTAAGAGCGGGTCCGTTGGATTGGTGGAAGCAGAAACCAAAGTGGAACGCATGGAAGAGAGAGGGGAATTCAAGGAATGGTATAACTGAGACAGTGAAGACTGATGTAATTTATGATGGGGGGAAAAAAGTGCCCTCATTGCCTAAGAAAAGTTCTTGCTTTTCGTGTCGTTTTGTTTTACAGGCTCGAGGATCTCGGCTTAAAACAGTTCACCGTAGCAGAACTATTCACTCGCATCTTCATCCCAACCTCCTTTCTGTTGGTGTGCATTTTACACCTCCACTACTTCCATGATCGGTTCCTGGAGCTCACGGACCTGAAGTCCATTCCCAGCAAGGAAGACAGCGCCATCTACAGGTGAGCGCGAGCAGGAAGCACGAGCTTCTTGCTCTGGTCAGGGTGGCTTTGATTCCCCACCTCAGCTTGGGGGCGGGGGGGGCCTGCAGGAGGCCAAGAACTAATGTAGAGTTTCAGCCTTGAACTTGCCATGAGTACCAACCACATGACCAATTTCCAGGGGGGGGGGCGGAATGTGGAGTATTTGATGACACTTTCTGTAACAATTGGTGGTGACTCATGACTGGTTAATGCGAAGTGATCTTCACCATCATGTGAGTGGGTTCAAAATAGCTGCGCAGATGCAAACACTTCAGAGGTGGCGGTGGATATTTCGTGTCTGGGCTGGTGATGTGTTTTGAGAACATTTACGAAATCTGGCTGATTCAGAGCGTGGGCTGACAACCAGTAAGGAAGTGAGAGCATACGAAAAGGTGAGGCGCAGGATTTTCCCTTCCGCTTTGGAAATAAAGAACCTCAGCTAAGAAGGATAGGATCTCCAATCTAGTGATGAGAATAACAAGTAAGGGAATAAAGTGAAGACAGTAATTGCTGTGATCATCTCTCTGTTGTCTTCTCATCGATAAATATCAAGTGTTTACAAGCAACAGATGAGATATCTCTCTCCCTGCCCATGTGTGTTGAAACCGTGATGGATTTATCACAAATCTCTCAGTCTGGTCCCTCACAGGGAAATTTCAAGCATTCTTCTAGTGAACGTTCACACTGATTTTCCTCTTTTGTTTCAGATTTAGCCTTACCATTCAGTTCCTGGAAAAACACTTGTTAAGCAACCAAGGGGGCAAAGGGCTGTATGAAAGTAGCGTAGACGCCAGCTGACAATCCCATTTAGCCTTTTTGGCTTCCCTCTGAACTCTTCTTGAAGGGAAAAAATGAGTACGTCAAAAGAAGTTAGAGTAGTATTTCATCACGCACAGTTGACGAAATACCGAGCGTTCCGTTTTCTGCTATAGTAAGGGCTGGAGTTGCAGATAACTCCAAAACTCTTTTATTTGGTGATGAAAACCATTTTATAATCTTTATCTATGTATTTAGCACATTTATTTTCCGTATCGCGTTTTGCTGAATCTGAGTTCACATGTCGTTTTCATTCTGAGTGCGCTCCAGATGACCAACCAGTAGAATGCAGAGATGGCAAGCAGCTGTTATTTCCTACCCTGTCTTGCCACCATCATTAAGAACTCAGCTAAACCCTGTCTCCTCCAAACGCCCGGCCAGGAAGAGGGTACGAATGGGGTCAGTGGCTGCCTTCAGTGATAATCAAACATTAGGAAAAATAAGGTAGTTATTAGAAGTTTGGGAGCCCTCGAGGAGAGATTGTTTATAGGCAAATTTGTTAGCAGAAGAAGTCACTCTAAGGTTAAAAAGCTTGCAAACATAGTGCTGGTCTAGGAAAGTAAGATTTACCAACAATTAGAAAAAGTATTTTTTGATGACCTTTTTGACATTGCTTGGCACACCTGGGGCTAAAGTTAGTATTTGGTATTTGACTCTGGCAAGGTAACCTGCTTTATTTAATTATAAACCCTAAACCCTCACCATCTGTTCGAAAAATCATAGTCAATAATCGAGAAAAGCCCTTTAGTCGGCATGTTTGTATGTTTGTAAAAGAAATGTAATTATTGGTGAAAGCTGATGATACCTTTCCATTTTTTTTTTCTTCAAAATGCCTTTCTTCCCTCAAATCTTTATTTTCTGTTCAAAGTTTCTCCAGGATATAGGAGCTTTTTTTTATGTTTATTTTATTTTTGAGAGAGAGAGAGAGTCACAGCTGGGGGGGGGGGGGTCAGAGAGAGAGAGGGAAACACAGAATCTGAAGCAGGCTCCAGGCTCTGAGCTGTCAGCACAGAGCCCGACGTGGGGCTTGAACTCATGAACCATGAGATCATGACCTGAGCCGAAGTCAGACGCTTAACCAACTGAGCCACCCAGGCGCCCCGCCATTGTTCTTATTGTTATCATAAGCCTTTGAGTCTAATGTCACACAATCAAACAGAGATATAGGTTACAATTTTCCAGGAAGATAAGAGATTTTCAGGGCCACAGTTTTGCAGAAGACAATGCAGCTCAGCAAAAATTGTACCAGCCAAAGAATCACCTAGGTACATGAAAACTGAATTTGTTCCTCAGAGTTTCCTGGAAGCATATAGAGCATTATTTAATTGTGTAGATTCTGGGGAAAGACTACAGTTTCACATGAAGATGTTTTCTCCCCGTTGCCACAGCTGCTCCGTTCACTGCCCTCACCCTCCATGTCATGGCAAGAGGGGAAAGAAGATCTAAATGGTCTGTAGCCATTTGAGGTCATTGCTTGCCATCCTCATGGTCATGGTTTAGCCCTAAGAATGCCCTGAACAGTTAATTTTCCAAGAAAACATGAACAGTGATGACAGTATATAAGGCCAGCTATCTAAAGAGGTTAGGAACATGGGATTTCACTTTTAGTTCCTCAAAAAAAAGAGTTGTCTAGGACCTTAAAGAGCTCAAAGTTTGGTTCAAACTCAAGTTCAGTGCTTCGGGATTTCCTGCAAGAGTTTGATATAAAGGTCCCCAAATTTTAACTTTGAACCTAGGATACATATCCCATCTTTTTAGGCAACTTGTTTCCATTCTGGTATTTTCTTTACTAATAGTTTTCACCTCAGAGTATTTTTTTGTCCCTGGAGCCCTAATAAATGACCATATTAGGATAAAACTGACGAAGAAAAAAATATTTACAGTGTTGAGATGGACAGTCACGCTTTGCCTTCTCTGCGCCCACCATGGCCCACGAATTGGGAATAATCAACCCATTATATTCCTTACATTGATTCTACTGCTATTGTTTCTGTAAATATCCAACTGTTCTTTTCCTATTTAGTTCACTACTTGTGCGAGCTGTGTTTTTGTGCATAAATAGGTCATACAGGCAAATGTCACGTGTGACTGAAGCAGAATCTATTGTGGTTAGCCTTACGGAATTATCAAGTTAGTATTACGAAAAAGTTTTGTGATATACATAATAATAAAAAAACTATTTTTATTTCTAAGCAGGTGTTCTCAGGAATATTATTCCACTTATCTATTGATAAAATATATAATATTAGAGCATAATCACAACATAATTATTATAATATATATACTTAATACTAAGGTACTAGATATCCTAGGTATTTAATATCCATCCCTGCAATTCCTCCATGCTCCGTTTTAGAAAGTATTCTAGGGGCGCCTGGGTGGCTCAGTTGGTTAAGCGCCCGACCTCAGCTCCGGTCATGATCTCGAGGTCCGTGAGTTCGAGCCCCGCGTCGGGCTCTGTGCTGACAGCTCAGAGCCTGGAGCCTGTTTTAGATTCTGTGTCTCCCTCTCTCTCTGACCCTCCCCTGTTCCTGCTCTGTCTCTCTCTGTCTCAAAAATAAATAAATGTTTTTTTAAAAAAAAGAAAGTATTCTAATGCATATGGAAACAAAATGGTTTTTTTCTACCTTCAGTCTTAGAAAACATAGAAAACAATATTACTTAGTCAGGATCACTTAGTTACTTAGTAGGATTTCATTTCTTTTTAATCCGGGGGAAGGAGCAAGAATTAATCTATTAGATCGTATTTTCTTTGATAAATTTGCTCGAGAATTGAAAGGTTACAGATTTTTAGCAAAGTGTGTGAGATGGGGAGGAATGAGAAGAACGGACCGGACCTTGCCACCTTCCAGCATTTTTCCTGAATACATCTAATTTCACGTTGCTCCTGAATCTTTCTGCCCTGACTTGTCTTCGTGCATGAAAGTGTCTGTGATGACGTAAAGCTTGCAAGACGGTCTGCTTCTTTCCTCTCTAACAGTCTGCTCTTTCTCTCTCCTACCTGTCTCCCCGTCGCCACCGCATGCTACCTCGTGCTCCATCTTTCACCTCGTAGCCATGCCAAAGTCAATGGGCGCGTATATCTAATAATAAATAGGTGGGTACTTCCATGTTTTCTCTCTTGTTGTTTTTTTTTTTTTTAACGTTCGCTTAGTGTGTTAAACACTTTACTATGTTGTAAACGGAAAATGATGTCGTCAGATAGTGCACAGTGGTCTTCAGGTATGCTCATGGATGTATTTTGCCAACACAACCATTTGGTGACTATTCCGAATGGTGCTACAAGTGGATTCGGAGGTTGCCAAGGGTCTTCAGCTGGTGCTCGGCCTTGGGTCTTGGTTCAAACGTACGCCCCATCGATTTCATTCTTTGGCAAATTAGTCCAAGGCTCGCGTGAGAGCTTATCTCGCTCCTCCCAAGAACGTGCCCACCAATGCCAACTTCCCCCGCTAAAAGTAATCCGCCCTCCTTCTGAATATCCATAGCACTTTATGGTTGCTGCCTCCTGATACTTGCCTTCCAGCCCCCCCACCTGCCTGCCTGTCTTATCTCCCCTGCCAGAGGCATCAGCCCCTCGGGCATAGAGTCCCTGTATAATTCACCACTGTGTCAGCGTATCATCTGCCTCAGGGCCTTGCCCGTTAGTTGACCTTCCATCTGTACATATGTCGTGAATGAAGTGAAAATAGTCACAACAACATATGGTTATAAGAAAATTAAGACCTCAATAGATCAGCATACTGAAGAAAGATAGTTCCCATCACTAGAGTTCACAACAGATGCAGAGCTGGGCACTGAGGCATGGCCCTTACCTTATAGCCCTATAACTCAGCTGGGGAGATAAAACGTGCAAATGACCACACATAATAAACAATAAGCTTTGATAAGTGTTGTTTGCAGAATTATCCTCAACTTCCCTAAGAACACAGAGAAAAAGATCCTTAGGGAGTGAATTTACTACACCTGTCCTTACTTTATTAAATAGGTGAATTAAAATATCCCCTCCTATAACTTTATGTCATTAGTAATAAAGCCAGTCATTTAGGTCATAGAAACGTGTGTTTTGCAACAAACCCAATCAACAAAATAACTCTTTTTCGAAAGATCTGTTCGTTTTCTAAGTAAGATCTGTTGGTTTTCTACTTCACTCACTATTCTCTTAAATAAAATCCTAAAGCTGACAACCAAGTAGCAAGCCCTGGGAGGCAAAACTTCTAGGAGGAAGTGTGAAAAATTAGTGCATCGCTCTGCAAGTCACTGAAGAAGGAGGGGTGAGGAGTGACTGGTTCCTTTGGGGGGCGGTTTTGTTGACAGCCTGAGGGAGAAAAATCAACCTCAGTTTTTTAGCTAAAAACTCTAGCTGGAGATCTTGAGCAACTATTGAAATTTCATCTCTAAAACATAAGGAACTTTTCTCTCAACCTCTCTCTCTCTCTCTCTCTCTCTCTCTCTCTCTC